GGGGGGGCGCAGCGCCCCCCCCCAGCAGCACACCAGATCCAAATAAAACAAGTGTTGGCTGCAAAGATGAGACTGCGCAGCGCGGATACTTTCAACAGGTTGATTGCTTTGTTGCTAGCTTGGTTGGTTCCTGTTCTTCTTCTGTGTTGTGGGTCGTGGCGATTGCGGTTGTGGTTGTTGTCGTTGCTGTTGGTTCTCGTTGCTGTTGTTGTGGATCCGAACTCGAACTGGTCCACCCCCCCTTATAAGTCTCTTAGTCGCTGATCCGAACCCGAACTCGAACTCGAACCGGTCCACCCCCCCCGGCTCGATAGTGGTGTGTCGATCCGAACTCGAACTCGAACTCGAACCGGTCCAACCCCCCCGGCTCGATAATTGTGTGTCGATCCGAACTCGATCTCGAACTGGTCCACCCCCCTCTCTCGCTCGATCCACGCAATCTCGCGCATCGAACTCGAACTTGAACTCGAACTCGAACGGGATCAGTTAGAACTACCTGGGGCACGGCCTGTAAAACTCTTTATTAACCGCTTTGTTACTGTCCTGTTTTGAATGCCCATCAAACGCTATCAGATTTTCATCGACCTTTTCCTGTCTCGTCCATAAGGGTTCAGCCCTATACTTCCCTTCGTCCGCCTCCGAAGCCCAGAATGTCACCCGAAGGCGACCCTTTTTCAGCGGCAATTTGTCAGGCCCAGCGACACGTACACCAAAGGTGAATGATTTCCCAAGGTTGAACCTTCTTTCCTTTTTGGGGCGGCTGCGGCTAGGGCTGCCAAGTCTTTGCCAGCGTCATATTCCACAGTGGCCAACATGTGGGCACTGGCGCTGGTGGCTCTCTTAGCTGGAGCAGATGCTTCGTGCGCAGCTTCCTCGTGCGCAGCTGACACTGGGCTTCATTCTCGGGCACTGCTGCAGCGACATGCCAAGAAGCTTGGCTGGACACTGGCACTGGCAAGAAGCGCGTGCGTGCCAGCCGCGCCTGGGGGAAGTGCTAGGGGCCAACCTTCTTTAGGATCAAACTACATACGCTGTTGTATTTACAGCATATATTTGCATACATACTCTATATCTATATCCACACATATATATATATAGTAGTTCAGTGTAGTTCAAGAGAACTTCAAAGCTGAATACAGCCGACGTTTGTTCGGGGTTCAACTCATCAACTTTTGATGGCCAGGCACACGAGGACCTTGAATAGCTTGTTGAACAGTTGTTGCTATGGAAGTGGCCCAGAGCTGCAGCGGAGCTGCACGTCCAGAGCCCTTTGTTCCAATGAATCCATGACATTTAAGCTTGCTGGGAACGAGGGAGTGAACAAGATCCAGTTGGCTTGGTGATTGAAACCGGAGGTCGCTCGGGTTTCTTGTGCACCTCGGAAGGAGAGAAGTGGTTTGTCCAGAGATCGAACAGATACCCGTCTTCATGCTGAACTTGAAGCGTCGGGTCGATCGCCTGCAGAGCTCATCGGCCGGGAGGGCCCAGATCTGTGTGCAACAGAACGACCTGATGACGCTTTCAGCTTTTGCCTTTTTTCTTTTGGTCTTGGTCATTTTGCAACTGGGGCTCTGGCGCAGAGACCTGTTTGTGTTGGCCATTTTTGGCTGCCAGAACTCAGTGTAACTGCACATGGACGGACTCTCCCTCCCATTTCGATCTCTTTCAGAGTTGCACAGCCAGGCAGTTCTGGAGAAGGAGCTTCCATGGCTACAGGTCTGCAGGGTTTCTGCCTTCGATGGTCGGAACCTGTCAACCGTTCCTTGGAGAGATCGAGAGTAGATCGCGCTTTCGTCTTTTTTTGGTCTGTGAGTGTTGGACGAAGTGCTTCAAGAGCGAACATCAAGGTCGAACATCGGAGTGGGGTCATGAAGATTGGCTCCTAATAGCCACTCAGCAACCAGCAACCGATACATCATCCGTGGGCCTATTCCTGAACAGCCTCAGGATTGGAGCTATCTTCTAAGGCTTACTAAGGATGATCCCATGGTCCTTCGGTCATCCCCGACCTTTGTAATTCGCAATGTCAAACAGGCTGCATATACCTGGAGGAAGCACGAAGAAGCCAAGAATTCTGGATTCCAACACCAGTTTTTCTTGTTTTCTTCTCGCAGAGTGGCTACTCCCGGAGGAAGGTTCCACTGCTCCTTGGACCCTTGCAGGTTCCACTCTCCGATCGTTTAGTACAGCCTCCGGTGCTCCAAAGCGCCATCGAGAACGATGACTTCACGCGTGGTGGCCGCCTGACCACTGGCGCCGTGGCCTGCGCCTTGGGCCACGCAGTCATGTGGGAGCACATCGCTCAGGAGGACCGCAACAACCGGGTGCAGCAGGGCCGCCGGGATGCTTCGCTGGAGTTTTTGGCCGAACAATCGGGCGAAAGCTTCAGACCGTGTTGTTCGGAGTGTTTTTCTTCTTTTTTGAAATTGTGACAGTTGCCCTGCGGCCCCAACTGGCGTTTCCAATTCACTAGTGGGTTAGCTAGTGCGGAGGTCACCTGAGATTCGAGTCCTTAGTGTCCCACGTTTTCGGAAAGACGCGAGAGATGGCATTCCATGCCAACGCTCTCGTAGAAAACGACATAAGACTGTCACACCGGGGCCTCCACCGCCCACATGACATACGTGCACGTGCGCGGTTTCCCTCCCTGTCCGACGTCTGGACCCCTGAGGATCCCCGAAGACCGTTTCTCTCATGCTACTAGTTAACAAGTGCATCGCTACTAGTAACAAGGGCCTTACTACTAGTAACAAGAAGCTACTATGAAATGTAATTAGAATCAAATTAAAACACATTTCTCTCATTTTTTAAGTGCAGTTTCGACACCCACTGAAGGGTCTACCCACTTGTCTGGTGTATCTTTTTCAGAGCTACTTGGTATCTGGGCTTATACCGGTGTATTTGGATTCTAAATAGATGGACGTGTTTTCTTGGTCACAAGGCTGGTATGACTCTGTTCCTCCTGTTTGAACAGACTCTGGAACATGGCGGTGTGAAACTCGTGTTTGGTGGCGCATGTTTGGCGGTCCGGGTTGGAAATCGCTCATTTTTGCTCAATGAACAACTGCTACGGGCTTTAAAGGAAAAGAACGTTGGAAATGAAGTTCAAAATCTACAGAGCAAACTGGTTGTCATGTATATATTCGTATCAGCTACCCCTGTCAGTATCTGTGTAAGCTCAATGAACTTGCAACCACCATCTTAGTGTGGTGCTTGCCGTCATTCTGTGAAGAGGACTCATGTTATTTGCAGAAGAGTAAGAATTGACTCATGAGACTTTCGGACTTCCAGGACTTCCCCTTTGCATTGTTGATGGAAGATGACCTGAGTCAAGTCCATCCAGACTTGGTGAACTTCATGTGTAAGCTGGCCACCGGCAGCTCGGATCGAAAGCTTCAACATCTTGGGATAGAAAGCCTTGTGGGTGGCTCTTTCTTGAACAACAATTCCCCTCAATGGCCCAATGGCCCTAATGTAAGCGCAGCTGTTCATGGACGACTTTACACAGCACATCACAACACCTTAATTCTGTGTCTTCTATGAGATTACTATGACAAGGATTTGATGCGCTGCATGAGTTGCTTTGCCAGCAGTCTGCATCCCACGGAAAATCCCATGACACGTTTCCAACTACCTTGTTGAAATCTGTTGAATGGGAGTCGGCCCATGTTTACCAGTCCTCAGGGAGACCTCTTTGACGAGCAAACCGATTTGTCGATTTCTGGGGCCCGGGTTGGGACTGGTTAGTTTGGAGAGTGCACATTGGGATCGGTCTAAATGAAACCCAAGAGTGAAGAGTGCAAATCTTACGCAGCGCTCAAGGTTGCCAGAATCGTTGTCACCTTGCTTGCTCGGTGAGTGAAGATCTTGGCTCTTTACAGTGCCTCAAAATCCAAGTCTGTACAATGCTCCTGGAAATCCGGGGCAACCACCAGGTCCACCTGATTGAGCATCTAAGGCGGCTTCCCAGAAGATTGGGAGATCATTCAGCTTGATTTCGATCTGGTGACCGGTGAGAGAAAGGAGGTCTCATGACCAGCATGGCTGATGTGAAAAGAGAGCTCCAAAGTGGTCTTTCCTTATATACTTCGTTGGGTTAGGAAGGAGCTGGGGATCGTCCCCCCTCTTAAAGCTCAATGGAAGCCCAGGAGCATCCAGGAGCCACTCCTAGATTCTCACCTAGAAGGGATGCTGCGGTAGAACATTTGCACATCACTGTTTGTGGGTGTTTCATGGTTCGTTGGGCTTCAAAAAAAAGCGCTGCACGCATACCTTCCAGACACACGTCGACGGGGAAGCTGATCGAAGCTGAAGCTGATCGAAGCTGGTCGAAACCATCGTTGCCCGCTGCTACAAAGACCTTTGAATGGGTGTAACTTCGGAGTCCGAGCTCCCACTTTTGAACATATTGATTGAATTTAGTCAGAAGGAAACCACACAAGCCTGCTCGTGTTCTCACGTACTCAATTTAACTATGCATGTGCAGTTTGCGGCGTATTCTTTTGCTTCATCATACTTCATTTAATCTTGTGCTATCAACCTGTTTTACTTATCCTCGCCCTCTCAATCAGCATGGTAGTTGCCGGGTTTCCATGTTTGGGGTGGTCCTGGCTGACCCTCAGCACCGTTGGCCGCACACGGAGTGTTTGGAGCGGATCACCGCCCTCTTCACCGCACCGAGCCGGGCCGATTAGGCCGTTTTCGAAGCTGGTTTGTCAAGCAAGCTGAACTTGGTGAGCGGATCAGCATACAACTACGGTAACTCCACCTGAATGGACTAGAGGGTGTGGCGGACAGAAGTGAGTGAATCTGGACGGAGGAAAGCAAGCAAGAAAGAGAGAGGGAGAGAGAGAGAGAGAGAGGGAGGGAGGGAGAGAGAGCCTAATAGCGATGGCCTCCAACTTAATAGCAATGGCCTCCAACCTACTAGCGATGGCTCCAACCTAATAGCGATGGCCTCTGCTGAGCTTTGGCATGTTTTTGGGAATATAGAAGTACAGTAGCCAGGCCAGACAGCAGGAATTGAGCATCACGTGATGGACGAGTCTATATACGCCTAAGAATGACTTCTAGTCCTAGTGCCCGCTTTCGGCTCTCAGTTCCTTGTTTCGTTGGGGTCAATGATTGAAATTGAAGGGACGAAACGGGGCATCTCCATCTGAGGTATGTACTTGCTGCGAAAGACCGCGGCTCAGGAACTTCTACAGCTGCAGCTGCCCATAGGCGTGTTGGGCAACATGTTTGGTCTGAAACAACATGAAAAAACACTCACTTTCCTCAAGGCTCTGGGGCCAAAACCAACAGATAACGCCCGTGGGCTTTTGGTCTTACTGACTTTTGGGCCTTTTGCAAGGAGGGCTTGCACTTTTGCACAAACGTACGGAAAGGTCCAGACTCAACCACCCCAGTTGATGCCCGATCTGGATGGTGCAGGCTGAAGTTTTTGGCGAAAATCAATCCTTTGCTGAGCGTTGGGGATGTGGATTGGTCAGTCTTTTCCTAGGTTGTGACCAGGGCACGGCCGGCACGGCTAGGTCGGCTAGGTAGCCCCTTTCAGGCGTTCCATGTTGCTCACCAATTTTCACCTGACCCAGTCACACGTGCAGGCCAGAGTTGTTCCTTGCAGATTGATGATCCGAGCTGCCCGATGCGAAAAGCTCTGAAGGCCTACAGAACTGATGTCCCTGCAGCGCTCTTCGCTGCATCCAGAGAATCTCTTTCAATGTCCTTGCGCGTGGCGTTACTCGGGGTTGGGGAATGCGATGCATGAATACAACCAGTCCACAAATACATTGCTACCGGTAGCTTCTCGTTACTAGTAGTATGGCCAAGAGCTATTAGTGGCTTCTTGCTCCGTTCGTAGCGATGCCTTTTGTTCCGTTCGTAGCTTCGTTCGTAGCTTCGATGCTTGGCTTGACCAGTCTGAACTTCACCTTGGACTCCGGTTGAGAAGACACAGCTTCCTAGTGCGATTTGTGGGCCCAACCTCCCGGCCGGTGAAAGGGGGTCGGCATGAAAAACGGTCTCGGGCTGTCAGACAGGTGTAGTCACTTACGACCTCCCAGTCGCGGCGGGAGGAAGCCTGACTTCAATGGTGACAAATGCCTAGGTGACAACAATTCAAGCTGGAGAATTATGACTTCACACGAACCCCAATGCCTTGTGAGGTGCAAGGTAATGCTGGATCATCCCAACTTGGGTTTGAATGCACGAGAGTGCCGCGGCAAATTGTACCACTCTTCAACATGATAACTGATAATGATACAGCAATCTTCATATCTCCTTGAAGCAGATGGTCAATTCATGCGAACCAAACCTATTTTGTTCTGCGGTCTAGCGTCGCCATTCTCGAGCATTGAAGGCGTTCTCCCTACAGTAATAAATTAGAACCACTGGGGGTCTTTCACAATTTTTTCCCATAACAAAGACATACAAAGACCAGCCGTCTCTGATGCCCAAGGAGAATGACACTGATATTCAGCAGTTGCACTTCCTGCAAGTCGACGAACCTCTGCCCGATTGCCCACCGCTGGACGCCTTGAAGATGCAGGCACTCGATGGGTCGAAGATCCACCGATTCGAAGGTCCCACGGATTCGGTGACGGTATCGAGATGTGTTCCTTGGTCCAATTCACACGGGACATTTCCATCTAGCAATGGGCAATGAACGGAGACCTATTGCTCCTACGAAGATTTAGGTGACACTGACCTATTGGTATTCGGCTTGTTTGACATGCAAACATTTTGAAGACATCATTTACAACCAGAATTCAGTGACTTGCAACCAGGCCTCAACTGAACCGATGTTTGCCATAGCCTTTCTTTTTCCGGTCACCTGAAGCCATCACCCTCCTCCCTCAGGAACCAGCCTTGCAGACGCTCTTCCCGTCGAGTTGATTGAGCTCCGCCTATGCGGCGCTCCGTCGCTCCGAGAGCGCCTCCTGAGCGCCGCCCGTTTGGTGCCCGTGCGCTTGAGCGTCACCCGGGTCGCGTCACCCGGAAGCCGAAAAAGGTGAGTCCGGTGGGGGGAGTGAAGAAGGTCCACGGAGGGTGCACCCGTCGACTCAGCTTCCAGCGTTTGGGGCTGGAATCAGCACCCAACATCTTTTGGAAGAAAGGATCAAGCCGAACTAATGAAGAGATTAGGTCTGCTTAGTATTGACCCAGCCACAGGTGGAGGTAGCCAGGAAGCGATACTCAGACTCCAGTGCGGACACCAGGAAGGTCAAGATCCATCAGCCATATGCATCAGCCCAAGTTCCTTCAGGATCACATCGAAGAAGCTTGGCTCTTCAACTGGGACCGAACGCGTCGAGGAGCGGAGTCCGCAAGTCCGGGGAGTCCGACGCAAGTCGTGTGGCAGGATGTTGTGAAGTCTTCAAGGACATGTTGCGGATTGTTCAAGGAGAGCGTGCTTGCTCTTAGTAGCGATGCCCTTTGCTACTAGTAGCGATGCACCTTGCTACTAGAAGCTTCTTGTTACTAGTAGTTGTTCATGGACATGTTCAAGGACATGCCATGCCCCTGCATCACTCGAGAACAAAACTGTAATTTCGCCATGGGATCCGAAAGAAACCCACGGAGAACCACGTCTGTCGTTACCGTCTCCGTCGAATGTTTCTCCGTTTCTCCGTGGGGTGAGGACAAGCTTTACACCTGGACAACTTCCATCACTTCCAGTTCCCTAAGCGTGTGGCTACGGCCGCTTGGCGGTGGAGTAGGACATCAGAAGGACTGAGCGGATGGTGAATGGACCAGAGACCCAAACACCACCAAGGAAGCCTGGAGAGGGATCCAGTCTCTATTGGCATTATTTGGCAATTTGCAGGGAGTTTTGCTTCACATTGATCTATAGCACAGGATTTTGTCCATTAAGCGCCGCGAATTCTGATCATGCAATGAAGCGGCAGAATCCAATGCAGGTGGATGTTTTTTTGGCCTTCCAGCTACATGGCTACATGGCTTTGACTCAAAATCAGATAACCCCATTATCCATGGGTTTGGGGTTCCTTTGAGATGGGGCGGAGTTGACTCTCCGCCCGTCCTGTTGTTTTTAATGGATCCCCGTGGACTCAAGAAAGTGATCTTGCTGTCTTCAAGTAGGGAGAAAAAACTATAGACTATATACTGTAATCACAGTAGACTGGCTGCCAGCCGGGTCTTTCTCTTTGAATACACCCGCTGGAGTCTCAGACTCGTCCCGTCCCGTCCATCCGGGCCCATCGGCGGGACCCGTCCTACGGTTGGACGGTGGGTGAGGCGGCGGAAAAGGAGGAGGGAGAGCCTCGGGTTCACGAGAAGAAGGGAGCCAGGAGGAGGTGGTACGAAAGTAGATTCAGAGAGAGCTTCTGGTGATGTACTTGCATTCGTCACACCCACAGCAATGAGCTCCCTGCAGAGAGCCAGTCACAGCGACCACCGGGGCCTTTCAGCTCATGGAGAAGCAATCTGGAAAAGGTGGTCTCCTAGAGCATAGAGGTTGCCCAATGTCACAATGTTTATATATATCTCAATAGAAACCAGTGGCTCTAAAGGCTACGTCCACCTAGCCTTTTAGTTTATCCAGCCCCTGAAGCACCCAAACAAAACACAAGCCGCGGCACTCCCACATCTCTCCAGCACCAACCTCCGCTCTTGACACCCACAACCCACGGGGTGTTTGTCCATTCGGATCCTCTGTCGGCGGGTGCTTGTGCTCCCACCCTCGGTGCTACGCCAGGTCATCGTGCGCTTGAGGGACGACCCTGTCGGCATCGGCTTTCCCTTAGCCACCTGGTGGGGGGGTGCCCAGCCCGAAGAGAAGTCACCGGGAGGTTTTCTTCCTGGCACGCGCGCGGAATGGGGAGGATGAGGAGGGTGATCAAACATGATGACGGCTTGAGGATCGGGATGTTTTGGGAGAACTTTAGGGTGAAACATGGTGGAAAGAGGTCTTTCTTTCAAGCAATCAGACAGCCTTTTAAAGTTAGGCTTGCTTGCTCCTTAGCATTGGAGGATTTCTCCTTACTTTGGACAATCTTGGAACAAGCAGCTTACTGGGAAATGAAGATTGTCTCTTTGACATTGGATAGGCACTGGCTGGCCGTTTGGAGTGAGCTAAGAAGCTGGTTGTCCGTTTAGCGGGGGGGAAAGGAGCTACGAAGTGTTATTTCTTTGGAATGTATTATGCGGCAGAAGAGTACTTGATTTCATCTTAGCCGGCAGCATGTCAAAAAGATTCTGTGGAGTCCTCACAGCTCCACAATAAAGGTTGTGTTCAGCAGCGGATTTAGTACAGCTGAACTGCAAAATAGAATCTGGCAACATCTACGGATAATGGCTCAAAGTGCTGCCTTCCAAACATGCAAAACCATAGGGGCTGACCGGATCAGCACTGATCCCCTTTTCATCCAACCAATCCGAGTGTCATCGTGTCATCGGATCGGCCCCACAGAAGGGCATTTGAAGTCACGATTTGGTCAATCCAAAGATATGGGGAAAAAAGAAACCACATCATGTTTTGCCGACCATGGCAGGGGTCCGGACCATGGCAAAACATGATGACTATGACTGTACTCCGCCCTCCATGGGGGTCCGGACCTCCTCCCTCTTCGAGTCGGGACCTGGATTCGCTTCTGAGGCCCGGGATGCACGAGCTCGCCCAGGTGGCGAACAACGACCGGGTTCAGATAGGTTGGACGACAGACAGGACAGGACGGCAGGACGCATCCTTTGGGATTGCGGGACGACTTGGAACAGGTTTTCCTTGGTTTCGATTCTTTAGGTCTTGTTGTTTTAATTTTTTGCCCCACGGCGACTCAGATGATACACATTCTCTACAATGCACACAGCTGACAAGCTCCGAGCAGCCGTGGATGGCAAAGCTTACCCTCTGAACGAATGGGTTTCCACCCCGGTGGCTGGCCAGGATGATGAGCTGGTGGCAAAGCTGAATGAGGAGGTGGTGAAAGAACTGGACACACTTTGGATGCATCGAGTGATTTGCGTGACCCCATCAAGAGTTCACTTTCAATGTGACTGTCACTTATATCAGAGGTTCGTTTTGTTTTTCTGCTTCAAACAACTTGGGATCCAGGGCTGGATGACGGCTCAACTCTGCCCCCCTGCTACTCTTCTCGTGTGACCTTCTACACTCAGCAGGGGAACATCAAGTGTACAGAGGATCTTTTTCTCTCAACAAGACCGGAGCTTTGTCTCCAGTCTCGTCTCCTTTCGTTCCCTTCGACCAGCCGATCCCTTCTCCAGGGCAACACTTTGCCATGGCGAGGCAATGGACAAGGAAGGAGCTTCAAAAGCCATGGTCGGGGGGGCCATGGTCGGATGCGCATCCGACGGGTGGAGGGATTGGATCCGTCCAGATCACAGCGCCTGAAGCAAGCGAAACAACCCGCTTGGCATATGTACCGGCCTTTTGCTCCTTGATCCTATCTGGAACTGATCTAGAAGGCTGGAAACTGAACGAACAAATGAAGGAAACTCACTTGGCCAGATGTTCCATCCCCAAAAATCTGCACCACACGGATTCCACCCCAGTTTTTTTGGGATTGGAGCACTTGTTTTTTTTGATTCCCCTCTTGGGGGTGGTGCCATGCTTCAGAATGTCTGATTGACCCGCTGGTGAGCGAGGTGATTTTCCCCGCGGAGACTCTCTCTCCGACTTGGTCTTGTTCGTAATCGAGAACCGTCGATTTTCCTGTTTTGAGAGACTCCTGTTTTTTTCCAGTGGCCCTACTGTAGATACTGTGGTAACACCACTAAAGACGGTCCGATTTGCATGGTTGAAATGGGTCCTTCCCTCCCAAACATTGGTCTCATGCACTTTCAGGCTACTTGGATGAAGCCTTCCAGGAGGTCTGCCGCGATGCCCGGGCCTTGAGGGGCGCTCTACTTGGTGACCGGGCCATACGGTGGGCTTAGGGCGGGTGGATTTCCTGAAGGTGATAGAATCAGGAGAGCCTCCCTTTCTCCCATGTGTTTTGAGACTTATGGACCAACACGGCTTTGTTCTTTCTTTCAAAACTAATCTTATGTTGTGTTCTTGTGGGCTTCCACTAGGAACGGCCAATCTTGAAAAACATGCGGTCGATTGATGCAACCCCCCCAAAAGCAAACCAAAGTGCCAACAAAAAGTTGCTAGATTAGCAAAATCTTATTGCCATGCCAAGCGACGATTAGAGACATACTACTGTGACTGAATGCAAATTTGCGGGTTTCTGGGTTTCCAGATGTTGCAGCTCACACGCTCTCTCTCTCTCTCTCTTTCTCTCTCTCTCTCTCTCTTGCTCGCTCTCGCTCTCGCAGGCTCCCTTGAAGCTTCGCGGGGAGGCTTAGACAACTCTTCTGGTGCTTGTTTAAGGCTTGCGCCCTTTTCACTCCATGTGGGCCCAAGGTCAGGGCGATGGGCTCCTCTATTATCACCTGCGACAGAACGGTGAGGCCAGAAATGGATGCAAGAAGTCGGACTGGTCTTCTTTTTTTTCTTCCCTGATGTGAATGAAGGGAAGCGTCTCGCACTCGTTGGCATCAGCTCCACTCTGACTAGTACGTAGGTTCACAAAGCTGGTCATCTTCAATGTGAATCCACCAGGCACCCCAAATGATTAGTAGCAATTTGACTGTGAAAGTTCACTTCCCCAGAATGTTTCCAAGCTCTTTTCTTCCACCAATGGACAGTGGGACCTTCTCCGCCTGGAAAAAAACGTGTTCCGAGCCGGACTGGGAGGTGAACCTACGCTCGATGCATGGGCATGGGAGCTCAGGGAGCGACCGAGAAGCGACTGGCCAGGTCTGACTGGCCGGAGGCCAGGGTCCCATGAGCTCGGTGTGGAACATGGTGTAACAGGAACATGGCACTAGTAGGGAGTGATGTGGTTGGCTTCGTAAGGGGGGGCAGGATTGGTGAGGTGTCATGAGGTGTCATGGAATATCTCAATGGAGTATCTCACCCATATCAAGGCCATAGTGGAACATTGACTAGCATGTTCCAGCTCGTTCTATCAAACATCAAA